TATTGCAATAAAACGGCAATTTCATACTTTAACCCCTAATATATTTGGTACCTTGTAGAACTCTCTTCATGTCATGGTATGTTTTTTTACGTTATTCCTTTTGGATATATTTTAATAAAGATCTTTATTAAAATCAGTTTTCTCATTTATTGATAGAGTCGGAGGAGCTCTATCAATTGTGGCAGATAGTAGTCCAGTTCATAAACTGGTTATAAGGTAAGAACTGATATTGAAGCTTGATTCATGACAGTACTGTACATCTTATAATAATAATAATCCATTTATTTCAGATACATTCATCCATAATATTTGTTAGTAAAGAAAAATACTTAAGCTAGTATTCTTCACTCTATTAATCTCTAGTGTTGATTGATTATTTGGCAACAATCTAATCTTTAGTCATGCAAAACATGTTATTAAACAAAGAAATTAATACAATACCAAATTATATACAAAATGTCTTAACTATAAAATATAATTTAAATAAATTGATAATGGAGAGCCAGCAATAACATTAAATTTTCCTATTAATGTCAGCAGCGTCAATAGTAGTGTGAAACGATAAGTTGAGGTCACGGAAAAAATTATGGCGCGACAAATACTAAATTGTAGTAAACCAAAATACTAGTACAATAACACTTCAAGAATTAACATCTCGTAAATTGTATATATTTAAGTAATGGTATAGGGAAAGGAAAGTTAAAACCACAAAATTATTGAATAATATAAATTTAAAAAATTACTTACCATGATTATAGACGTAAATAATCATAAATTCACGTCCCTTTTGTGGTAAGTTTTATAAGAAATATATGAAAACGCCATATATTCAATGTAACATCCATAAATTAACACAAATTTAGTGCACATAAATTAGAAATGGGCAAACTCCAAAATAATCTTGGAATCGAACATGCTCTGTTACGAAATGTCAAAATCCAAAATCAAAATCGTCAAAGTGACAGTTGTAGATTATTTTTTTTTATTAATAATTTTGGCTTGGATACAAGTACTTTGAGCCATGTCTTCGGTTAATTGTTTCTGTAAATATGGCCGCCACAAAGAGGATAGGCAATTTGAGGCGACGTGTTTGGATTGACTCGGGATTCCTTAGAACGGGCCGATACGGGTATTTTAGTTCGAGATTCGTATAATTTCGCGTTTTAATCTTCGATTAAGGCACAATAGCAGTATCCTATTCCACTTTAAACTAGATTTCACAAAATAATTGAAAGTCAAAATAAAAACGACACTTTTCCCTCCAAAAGGCTCAGAGCGAATGCAGATTATGACCATAGACAAAAAAAGTATGTTGAGTCAAAAAATAAACTATTTTTCGTACATGGATAGTGTTGGGTCATTGAAAAATGTCCATTTTGAAAAAATCATAGTTTTCCGGATATTATCCGGATATAAACTTACTGAACGAAAACGATAGAGCCATTGAAAGGGCGCGTTCCAGACAGACAGTCTACCTAGCCGTCTGCCGCGTAATGCAGGATTATGAATATGCCATTCACTAACTAAAACGCGGCTAACTGACAAATGGTCACAAATCCGTTTTAAATAGCTAAAGACAAAGCATAAAATTCTCTTTTAAAAACATTTAAAATTAATTAACGTGTTCGACTTATGGGAACTTACCCTAACAATGCATAGCTGAAATATCATTAAACAATTTCAGTATTCTAAAACGGGGTTATTGTTTTTTACGATATCTTAAAAAAATATTTTGTTACTTAACCGCGTTTTAGTTAGCGGACGGCAGGAATGTAGTCGCAGCGTGGAAGCCATCGTGCAACGCGTCCTACGAGACTCGAGAGCAGTCTCCTACCAGCGCGCGGGCTGCCATGCAGGTGCCGCTTTGTGTCGTGGCTTGTATATACAAATGAAGTTGTTCACTATATAGGTCATACAACGCTAATAACTGTCGTTCACGACTTTTTTCACGACGTTACGATGACAGACTGTCGTAACAATGGAAAGAGCTAGAATGACAGTCGTCTAACGATAAATAAAACGTCACGATAAAAATGTGACGACAGGATAGATAACTGCTGGTTCAAACAATTGCGTTGTGCAAACGACAAGACGGCTGTCGTGAGCTGATTAATTGTCGTCACAATCTAGTGGGAACAGCTAGACACGACAGTCGTTCAACGATAAAATATACGTTAACGACACAGCCACGACAGATAGTCGTGATGTGGGAATAGGCTAGACGCAACAATCGTCTAACGATAAATAGATGTTATTCAATCGTTTTAAATCTCGTTTTTCTCTTCCCGAAAAATTACCTAAAAATTGGAAAAATAAAATTTCGAAGATTTATATTATGTTCTACGTTTAGAAATATCAGAAGTTTTCTTTAGCGTGAATTATAAATAAACTTGTTTACGCCGCCAAGAGGAAAACGAGATTTAAAGTGATTTCCCAACAGCGAAAAAACTTTCAACAACCACACTACTACCACTTGTTGTTGGCTCCACTAAGGCTCCATCGTTTTCACTCAGTAACTATTACGTTTGTCATAAAATTCTTAAGTTTATGTATCCTATTTAACCTTAATCGCACTTACCTGATCCTTTCCTCCAAATTATTTTCCCTTTCCATTGTTTTCCGTGAATAAGTTTCCCCGTTTTGCAGTGACACAAACGCAAACTGAAGTATCAGAAACAAAACAAAAAACTTCACTTTTAACAGGACGTGGGAACGTTAAATGTGAAAATATTTTTCAGAGAATACTTTTCCGAATATTTTTATTTTAATTTTCCACAAAATTGAAAATAGGAAACAGGTCCTATAACGGAACGTTCGTAGAAGTAGTTCTGTGCCCCGTGACAGCACGCTGGTGGCGTTAGTGTACCGAATAGAGACGCGCCTCAAACCTTTATGGATCGGTTACTATTAGTGATGTCCTGTATCGCACTTTTACGGTAAAAATTACGGTTTCATCGGTCCTAGTTACTTTTTCATATTGCTAATGTTATGTGGTTTACAATAAAATATTGTATTTTCAGTTATATCTGTTTATTAATAACGAACGCTACTACCGTTTCGTAAAGGTGCTAAAGCATAGGAGAAAAAACGGCGTAAGAAACTCCCAGCAACACATCTTTTGAATCTAACAATTAATGAATGATAACAAAACACAATTATTAAACAAAAAGTTGCTCGGCGGATTAGAGCACATAGCACGACTAAACACAAAGTCTAGTCTAATTAATTTTTACTTTAATCTGCAACTTAAATTGTAGTGGCGTCTTTTTCAGATTTATCATTCTCTTCGCATCTTCCAACATTAGAAACAACAAGAAAATATATAATTATATATCAAAAGATTTGTAGTGAAGTAAACATAACGATTAGTTTTTTTTTAAGTTATTGAACTCACAGTAGTAATTGTAAAAATCGTTTATGCAAAATTCGATGCACCAACAAAATTATTACATATTAAATGCGGAAAAGTACATAGACAAAATGTCACTAAATCCTTGAAAACACCGAGAAATCACATTATCATATCACATTGTCGTGTTAAACCATCGAGCATGTTAAACTAAGTAACATCACTTTTATTTTTGTCAATCGAAATGTTGGATATTGTGTGTGTGGTCTGTGTTCTGTGGTCCTTTTCCTTTTCCGGGTCACCAACTCAGCATTTATCTGCAGTGGTACAGCATAAGTACAAAGTGCGACACAAAAGAGTAGACAATAAATGAGGGCCACTATCTCAAACATGGCAACACGTATAGGATTCGCTCTGGACGGATTCGCCCTGGGCCTTTTGGAGGGAAAAGTGTCGTTTTTATTTTGACTTTCAATTATTTTGTGAAATCTAGTTTAAAGTGGAATAGGATAGTGCTATTGTGCCTTAATCGAAGATTAAAACACGAAATTATACGAATCTCGAACTAAAATACCCGTATCGGCTCGTTTTAAGGAATCCCGAGTCAATCCAAGCACGCCGCCGCCTCAAATTGCCTATCCTCTTTGTGGCGGCCATGTTTACAGTGTTTAGGCTGATGGCTTTGCTAAAGCCTTAATAAATTAAAACAAAAAAGCAACGCGTATAGCGCGACCAAACTAGAGTTGATACTTGATTAATATTTACAATATGAGTTGTATGTGGTATGTTAGGATCATAATTTTTGTATTCTTTTACTTCCAGATCAAACAAATATAGGAACCATGAGGATAAATTATTGCATATGTAACAAGCATTGTATGTAACACTATTTTAATAATATACGACGACTTTATTAGCTGAACATTTCCTTTTTACAACATATGATGATGATGATTAAAAATAACACTAATTGACATATTATTGGTGCCAAAACTAAAATAAGTTATGCTAGGTATGTGATATTATCGAGCTTGTATTCTGTTGGGAGAATATATAAATAACAGAGAGTAGTATAAATAATATTTTATTTATTTTATTCTAGTAGGTCGAAATCCAAGTATTCAATCCCCGCAATACTTGGTTCGTAAGTCTTGCGAAGTACCTGCCCCTACTTGCATGTCAATATCTTCGGCTTCAGACTGTGACTGTGATTCAGAGCTGCTGACCTTCCAACACGTATGACAAGTTGATCAATATCTTCATACAACGTAGTGCCTCGTTCATAGTACTTTCTTTCAATTTTTTTACGTGCTCACAGCATTGCTTCCAATCAGTAGTGGTTATGCTACTGAATGCTTCTTCAGTGAGCTGTTTTATATCCTTTGCTCCAACATTTTGTAGTGCCACCTTCCGTTCTGCCAGTGACCAAATCAACTCTATTGGATTAAGGTTGCAATGGTAAGGCGGCAATTTCACTACTGTGTGACCATAATCCGCTAGAAGTTCATCAATAAAATACATGGAGTCAGGCTTGTATTTTTTTACCAAGGCCAATAGAGACAGCTTTCTTAAAGTTGGATCATAAGTTATATCATTCTCTGAAAGCCACAGCTTTATTTCAGCCACTCTGCTTGCTGATGTTGGGGCTTTGTTCTTAACAACAGAGTGATATGGTGCGTTATCCATAATGATAATTGCCAGTTCTTTCAAATTCGGTATTAATTTTTCATTCACCCATTTTGTAAAATTTTGTTGATTCATTTTTGAATGATAATCCTCTTGCTTGTTTGTGCCACTGAACATCAAAAGAGCATTCGGCACATAAGCATTTTCTGTACCAGCGTGTATAAGTATCCACCTCTTGCCTTTGGAGAATCCTCTGTAACACCAATGGTGTCAATAGATTGCCAACATTTCTTAATTTTACAAGAAGAATGGATGTAGCTTTCATTCAAATACACTATGTCCTTTTGAAGCTCATCAGGTAAATTTCTGTTTCCTATAATTACCTTTAAATAGGTCTCCCTCTTGGCTGCAATATTTTCATTCAATTTCGCTGAATTTACAGACATTTCGTCGTGCTAGGACCAACCATTTTTTTCGTATGTCGGATTTTCGAGGTACATCAATAAATAGTTTATTTGGGGCAGTTATAGAAGTATTCCTACATTGAGGTACTACACACCAACGATATGTTTTCCGTACCATAACGACTTCAAACTTCACAAAAACTTTAAAATAACACCTTGCCCTTGATTTCGTAGCTTGTTTACCTACAAATGACGTCACGCGTTCAATTTGACATTTTGTTACGTTTGCGCGCCAATTTGTTTCTATTTAAATTTTAACGTAGTTTTAGCACATTTTAGAGAATATTAAGCTTTATTTTAATAAAATATTATTTTTCATGGCTGTACATATCTATTTTAGTTAATTCTAGACACTTTCTGAAAAATTGTCCGATTCCCTATTCTTTGGTAGGGCGGCCTTTGCGATGTTTAGCAGTTAGCAGGTGTGCCAAAATTGCCCTTATTCCTACTTCCTTCCAGTATTATTCTCCGTACGGTGCTTTCCGATTTTCCTAAAACAAAGATATTAGTTATTATTAAGTTTAAGACTAGTTGGTGCTATTATAATTATGCCGCGAACGAAACGAAATAATATAACCTCAAAATGGTAAACGAGAAGCATTTAAACTAAGAAATTATGTACATTTAATCGTTCTCAATGTGTAATACGATGAATCGAGAATATCGTTCAATAATTATTCAGTCTACGTACCGGTCATAACCGCTGTTCTTTTGTAGACGTTGTCCAAACCCGTAAACAATTTCCCAGCTTTGAATTCCGCCATACACTACATAAAATCTGTATAAATAATTTCCCGTGCACCTCCGCGGATAGTCTTATTCATGATGACTTAAGAGAGTTACGAATTTACAGTAAAAACTTAAAGGAAATCACTTGAATATCACAAAACACAAACTCTGATCTCAAGCAATCTGAAAGTGACGTGAGTTTAATTTTTTTTTTTAATTTATTAAGGCTTTGGCAAGCCATCAGCCTAAACATGAAGTTTAAATATGTTTCTGTAAATATGGCTGCCACAAAGAGGATAGGCAATTTGAGGCGGCGTGCTTTGATTGACTCGGGATTCCTTAAAACGGGCCGATACGGGTATTTTATTTCGAGATTCGTATAATTTCGCGTTTTAATCTTCGATTAAGGCACAATAGCACTATCCTATTCCACTTTAAACTAGATTTCACAAAATAATTGAAATTCAAAATAAAAACGACACTTTTCCCTCCAAAAGGTCCAGAGCGAATTCCACGTGAGTTTGACAGATAGATAGGGTTGCCAGATATCAGACCGGTTTTAGTTCCGGAAACTTTAATTTCTACTCTTTTGTGTTGCACTGATATTTTTAATCAGCTGCATGCGAATTTTTACAGTAACGACTTAATATAAACAGTTTGGTTTCACTCGGGAACATTCGACTACGAAGCGGACGTTAAACTAATGAAAAGTACGATGGAAAGACGCGTACTGTACTACAGGTTGTATGATCTCCCACTGTCCGAACAGCTAAAATGTAAGAAAAATAACTTATAAGTAATATCTTATTAATATAATAAATGTATAAGTATCTATAGCCACCAAACCACTGATACTTACAGACAGTTACAGGATAAGTGGATTTTCGACATGCTATTTCCACTTCTGAGAATAATGTAGGCCATGAGAAAGGCACTCTTTTATCATCTTTGATAAATTTGTCCTCAAAGTGAAGTTTGTAAACCTGAAATTTAATAAATTTTGTGGATATAGTGCTTACGTTTCAAATTACTAATATCGAATGCCTTTTAAGACATTTTAACATTTCAAACATATATTTATCTCTCATGTTTTTTTTAAGGCTTCAAGTTTTATGAGGCACTTATGTGTTACTTCCTTAGAATCACCGAAAATAGTAGGAGTCTTGAAATAGGGATTAGTCGTTTGAATCTCTATTATTATGTAATGATACAAATACTTGTCTTAGGGTCGTATTCCAGAACTCTACTCAATCGTCTCAAGTCCTGACTTGAGCAGACTTGAGTATGATTTCAAGCACTGGAAATACGGCCCTAATGGCAAGGACTTGAGTATGATTTCCACTGCTTGAAATCATACTCAAGTCCTGACTTGAGCATTGAGTAGAGTTCTGGAATACGATCCTAGAAGTACGTTGAAGGCTAAGGTACGTTGTTTCGTTCTCCTAAAACATTCATTGTCGACCATTTTGAGTGTGCTACGATTATCATTAAAAATCCTTATAGGTTCTGGTGGTGACAGGCTGCTGTATTTGAGTTCGAATAAAAACATTTTTAAACAATTTTGCCTCTTTTGCAGAACTTCTAAGAGCACAGTATTAAGCTTCAGTGCTAGAACAAGCCACATTGTTGTTGTTTGTGACTGTACCAATTTATAATTCAAAAGCCGAACTTACTCAGAAACCCTGAATATGACTTTCGATCAGTCTTATCCCCAGCCCAATCTGCGCCAAATGAGATTTCAACTTTACTACTACCTCTACTAAAATTGAGTCCGTAGCTAGTTGGAATTTAGCAACTTATATAGCATACTTTTTTGGTGTTCATTTGAACTAAATATGAAGAAATCATCATCATAAAGTGCTATGATGGCCTTGTCTTTGTAATACATACATTTTTCAATCTTTAATTGAGTATAGCCATTGGTAATTAAAACTTTATGCACTTTTCATTCCAGGTTCTACTGGCTTGTTTGAGTCCATATAAACACTTCTTGAGTAGACGTAGGTTGCTCCATGCAAATGCATTCATTACGATCTCCATTAAGGGATGCCGTATTAATGCATTCGCTGATTATAATAATCTTTGGGCATGCAGGTAATCGTTCAGCCACCGAGGTCGCATTTGCTGTGCACAAATTAGAAAGATATTTGCTGTGTAAAATAACACACATAGGCATGCCTATGAATGCGGTTCCGGTGCGTAAGCGACGATGTTAATCTTGAGCTGTGAGACCTTAGGAGGTCTATCCATACTCGTTCCAGATCTACGCTGCGAGGCCACCGGCACAACTTTGCTGTCTTCGATATGGATGAACAGCCGTCGATGAGCCACCTGTGAACACGAGACATATCTCTGAAAACACTAAAAGGAACAAAACAAACAAAGTACAAACCAATAAGTTGAAATTGCAGAAGTGCCACGCCGACAAGCTTGTGTTATTTATTTTATAAATTTTATGCGGAGGGAGGATGGGATAATTAACTGAATGAAAAAATATTTAACACAAGGGCAGCTATTTTGCACGATTTAACCTTCACTGGGTTCGCGGAGTAGTAAATTAACTTACTTCCATTTTTATTACCAAGCATATGTGTTTAGCGTACAGGCATTGGAGACGTCTATTAAGTCCTCGTCCCTAGAGCAGTTAGGAAGTGTACGTTGATTGACCTTGCGTCGTAACATAGTGACACGTTGATTGGCCTAGTGTCGTAACATAGTGACACGTTGATTGGAACATGGTGACACGTTGATTGGCCTAGTGTCGTAACATAGTGACAGGTTGATTGGCCTTGCGTCGTAACATAGTGATACGTTGATTGGCCTTGTGGCGTAACACAGTGACACGTTGATTGGCCTTGTGTCGTAACATAGTGACACGATTATTGTGTTTGTGTCGTAACATAGTGACACGACGATTGTGTTTGTGTCGTAACATAGTGACACGTTGATTGGCCTTGTGTCGTAACATAGTGGCACGATAATTGTGTTTGTGTCGTATCATAGTGACACGATGTTTGCGTATAGTGTTTCCTGATATAAGTTATGTTTTGCAGTTGACCATGAAGTTTTACACGCAAAGTATCATGAGCGTCTTTTCGTCTCCGGGTCAAGCGGGTGATCAGGGTTACTCATCTGGCTATAATCTATACAGTAGGTAGCTGATCGAAAGCCAGCCGCCAGCAAGACGGAGAATCCAGGTATGCTGAATACATTTTTATCTGGGAACCAAGGAGTAAGTTGTATAATTTCTAAGTGACTCCTAAGTATTTCGACATGATAGTACAGGTTATACGCCATTGTCTGTATTTCCCGATATAGTTGAGGTTCTTGTTTCCCATTATGATGCGTGCTTTCCCAATATGGTGAAACTACTAGTTTCCCCGACATGATGGATGATGTATTCTTATTTGCCGATAACATGATAATACTTTGTCCTCTTTCGCCATAATAATGACGGTTTTCAGAAGTACACATCAAAAATTTTGCAGTACCGCTCTATAATAGTGGTCTTCATGTAAAAAAAATCGATATTTTTTCCGATGTGATATATCGAAATGTTGTATCGATATTTTGTGATATATCGACACAAAACATCAATGTTTTCGATATATCGTAAATAATTCTAAAGTATAAAATGAACGAAATTTTAGTAAGAGTAAATAGTAACAATAATCATTTGATTATTGTGTAAAAACTGGTGGTTTTACTTCTCCAATTCCTGAATCTTAACACAACAATATCGACCGCACACAAGTAATATTATTGTCAATACTATTGTGAGCATGCTGTTAGTCAATGAGAATATAAACACTGCGTTATACTGACAGATGTCCAGTAAATCAGCGCTCGAAGTAGTTTCTACATACAATTTATTGAATTGTATACTTTCAACTGTGTACAATTTTTCATATATCGGATAAAATATATCGATAGTAAGTACATATCGATACCGAATGATACGATAATATCGGATTGATTCGATATATCGAGGGCACATATCGATTTTTTTTAATATCGACATAATATCGAGCACTCCTCTCTATAATAAAAAAAAAGATGTCAAATTACGCGCTAAGATTTTTGTTTGGCGGCGTCGTCGGACAATTCGTAAAATTTTATTTATGGATTTTTATTTGTAATAACAGTGACAGAAATTCTAAACAACTATAATAATAAACGCACGAGTAAGGTAAGACTTGAAGTGATTTCACTTCATTTATTATTTTGTCTAATATTATTTTATATTGGAGTTGTATTCAATCTTGCAAATCTGTCACACGTTGTTTCAGTAAACAAAAACCGCTGGTGAGTTGCCGGCTTGTTTTAGGACAATGAGTCTTTTAGATACGAACAAAAGTTGGGCTGAGGAAGTGGAAGAGGCTGTTAATGGTGCTACTTTAGGTAATATTTTCCTTCAGCAGTCTAGCTGTGTTTTCACGAGACATAACTGAAAGTTATGTTTCTCCTTCATACACGGAAGGTTTTGTAATAATTTGTGTTAATATCAGGCCGCAGAGCAACCAAAGAAAAAATGAAATCAGACAGTAGAGAAAATTCAAACAACAGAAAAAGATCAAAACCTAATGCCAAACATGAAAGCGATTCTAAAACGAGGTATGTTACCCACATTACATTATTAATATTTCAACAATATTGTTTCCAATATAGAACACTTATTTTACAGTAGACCTCCTACGAAACAGCTAGAACTTGAAACTGACCCCGAGGTGCTAAATAGACGTCAGAAACAGATTGACTATGGCAAGAACACAGTTGGGTACTATAACTACACAAATGAAGTACCTTTGTGAGTTTCACTACTTGTACCTACTACTAAATAACAACAAGAGCAATGTTGATGATTTTATAAAGTAATATTTGGTGTACAAAGCACATTTTTATTTTGTTCAATTTCTAACCTATAACCAAGTTTTTAATGAAGTTTACTTACTTATTAGTTGACATATTATGTTTTTTATTATTTGTGGTAAATTTTTATTAAAACTGTATATTGAACACTGAGTTTTGACATATATTTTTTTAAACAGAGACAAACGCACTAAGCAGCATCCAAAGACACCAGACAAATATACAAAATACAGTCGAAGGTCCTGGGACAAGTTAATTAAGATGTGGAGGAAGCAACTCCACTCTTATGACAAGGATACTCATTCTACGGAATATGATGATTTGGAGAACACATCTAACAGAGATTCCCATCTTGATAATTGACTGTTTATTATCTAGCCGGACTGATGTAACAACATAGATTTAAGTGTATTATAAATATTGACTAGAGTAGGTACTTTAAGTATTATTGACAAACATTACAAGTACTGTCTTTTAATTTCTTTTGTAATTCTTTAACAAATTTAATATCTGGATGCTCTCAACATATGAGTATGTTGCAAACATTCATGAGCTATGTAGTAAGGCTCATTATATTATAATTATTATACTATACATATTAATATTTACATACATAATGTATTATTGAGAATATTTAAAATGACCAAATATTCTCATACCTTTTGCCTTAATACCAGTTGTTGTTGATTCTAGTGATCTACAGGAAGAAATAATTGTCCGTGGTTCACCCAGGTAGACATAGTTGACCTATGGGAAGAAATAATTTCCCATGGTCCACTCAAGTGGACCAGAGACGTGGTCCATGGGCAAGAAGGGTCTAAATTTTTTCCATACTTAACAGAAATTTAATACTTTTTTCACATTGCAATAATTTTAATAAGTATAAATGTAAATAATAGGAATATCTTGTAGAACTTAGCTAGCCTACGCCTACAAACTTCTTTTTATGATAAATTATTCCCTTAGTTAGTGGCATAAGTGAATAAATATATAAATAAGTAAATAAAAGAATGCGATTTCACTTCATATGTATACTCATTTATTTCTCATTAAATTATTCATACTTTTTTTTAAATGTATTTCATAGATACACCTAATTCATAGGAAGTTCAATTCTGTTTAGAATATCTCGTGCCTGCTTGACTGCAGTGTAGCTTTTTGTGTCACTTGCTAGATTTTGCAACTTCTCCATGTATTCTTCAATGTTATTTTCCGTCGCGCCTGTTGGTCCACCTACAACAGAAAAAAGTTAATATGTAAGTTTAGAGTGGCCACAACAACACAGATAGGCTCTATCCAAATTTTAATTTGTTTACCTTTTATATTATTACTATTTCTAAATAAAATTAAAAGTTTCAATTATAATCAAAAACGAAAAACACTTCCGGTATTCTCTTTTCCCCTGCTGCTTTGTTTGCTGTCACTTATCTAATTATGCTTATCTTCCAGTCAATTGGGGGCAGTAAACTAATTAAAGATATAATCAATCTAATAACCTGGCAAAGCCACTGACTGTAACCCTTGCACGAGGGCAGCAACAAGTGCTCGCCTGTTCGCAACCAATGCCGCCGTTCTCTCCGCTGCAGCCGCGGTCTCCGCACGAAGCCTAGCTGTCGCCCCGCTCACCTCTTCAGCATGTCTTTGTAGAATGGCATTCTAAAATAATTTTTCAAACTCAGTTTGAATAATTTATTGGCAAAAAGTAAGGTAGGCATACATATGTCAGGATATGGTACAAATGACAATATGCAAATTAGTAATATGTTCAAGTTAATTAACAATACAAAACAAAATTTCCATTTGTACAGCAAGGGAGGTTCATGGTCTCTGTCTACCCCAGTGGGAGACAGGCGTGACGATATGTATGTATGCAACATAATTACAAATAAATAGTGAAACAAAGTTTAGGTCATGCATTTATATTGCCCAAAATACATTTTAATTCATTAAGTAACTAACATGCTCAACATAAGTAGAAAAGAAATGCAAGTACAATGTACAGGGTCAAGAGCACGTCAAGCTTGACACGAAGAACGATCCAAAGTGTCAAGCTTGATGTGCAATTAACTGTACAATGCTTAATTAATAGTTATATTTACAGCTACAATATTATATTGTACAAATTTGCATAAAATCTGATGCATTGGTGATATGGAAAACCAACAACTATGTTAAAATCAGCACTAACATATTGGTTGAAAGTTGGGCGTTTTAGTACCTGCTGTTCATAATCTGAATTGGCCTTTCTCAGCTGCCTAAGTTCAGATTCTCTCAACTTATTATGCTGCAGGAACTGATCTGTGAAGATTGGGATCTCTGTATCTCCATTCAATTCTTCTCCCTGAGAATAGAAGCATGATGTAATTTGTATTCTCATTTATCCTGTTCTAAGTTGATGTAGAATTGACAATTATTTATTTACCAAAGCAGGTGTGATGCATGGTTTAGGCCGAGGCGGCGTTTGCTGACGTAGAGCCGTTGCCGGGGTAGTTGCAACCGCGCTATTTGTAGTCACTGTGTTTTGTTCTGACCCTAATTGATTACCAACTAGAAAAAATATACATTTAAATTAAAATTACAGCTAAACAACTACAGAAAGTAGATTAGATTAACTCATCCACAGGTCCTACTGCTGATTATGTCATCTCCTGTATTGAGCTAACTAAGAACTTCTCTACATATTTCCTTTTATAAACAATATAAATAAAATTAAAGATACTAATGAAATAGTACTCTAAGTATCCTACTGTCAAGGGCCATAAGTAGTCCATTACCCGTATTGGCTGTAGTGTCAACATTTTGTGGAGGATTGTGTTTAGCCTTTTTAGAGGCACCAGCAATGTCCTTTTGCTCCAACTGCTGTCTTCTAAACTCCTTGTAAGAATCTGTCTTCTTGTACTCAGTCCATTCTTTTATGTATCTGTTAAACAGTAAAATTAATAATTAGGTATAATTTTGACAACAATATTGAAATGAAACTTTTTTTCCGAATTTAAATCGCGTATATTTATTTTTCAAACCAACCAACGTTTCGGGCCCTTTACAGGTCCCATGGTCACGGTTGACTGAGGTGGTACAGTCATCAACCAGTTATGTCTAATATTAATGCAAACCACCCTATTTGTTCACTATAATTACAAAAGTTATTAATTAAATACCTTATTTTCAATTTTACAAAGAAACATTCCAATTTATGCTACTTTATGTTTTAAAAATTATTTTATTGAATGAATTTTTATTAAGTTAAATTTATTATTAATTAATAATAGAAATTAGAACAAATTAAAACATTTTAATTAGTACTGCAGTCTTGTCTGTTTGAGATTTTTTATCAGAGGAAATGCTGGATCCCAAACTGATGGTATGGATGATGGTTACGGTTTGTTTGAAAAAAACAAATATATGCCATTTAAATCTGGAAAAATAGTTTCATTTCCTATGTGTAACAACCGCGAAAACCTAAGAACTCAAGAATATTGAAGTTAGGTCTTAATTGCAGTTTGATCATTCTTCCCAGTCTAAGGGTCGTATTCTAGAACTCTACTCAATGCTCAAGTCAGGATTTGAGCAGACTTGAATACGATTTCAAGCACTGGAAATACAACCCTAATGGCAAGGACTTGGGTATGATTTCCAGTGCTCACTGCAATACTCAAGTCATGACTTGAATATTGAGTAGAGTTCTGGAATACCTAAGTGCTTAAAAATGTAATATGTAATAAAATAATAAAATTTTATAAATAGCTAAATATCTACCAACCAAAACAATAAATACAGTAGAAGGGCTTAGTGGGTGTGACACATGTATCAACAGTATGTGGCGTTCCGCATATTTGAATACAGTCCCCCATTTTTCCTTTGTACATTATGGTTGTGTCAATTATCTCGCGCAAAATCTCGAAAATCATGAAAAAATACCTTATTTTGCTACTTTGGTGGTGTTTCATCATTAACTTATTTTATTTAGTTTTAATAAATTTTCCATTTTCTGTTTATCATAATAAATTTTTTGTTATTAGAACCTAAAGTAAACCTTATACTGCTGCAATCTGGGGGCCAATCGCGCTATTTTCGCAAGGTTTAACCGTACAACATTTGAGGTTATGGTTTTGGTTAATTAATGGTTCTACCGACGCACAAAATGCAATCGCGCTATCAGTTTTAATGAACCTAAACCTCAGTTAAACCTCAAACTATAACCTCGTATTAAATTTTAAGAGACGTGCCTTGACTTCCTAAAACCGACTAAATTTTACCGTAAAACGCACTGAAATGTCAATATCTACGAATTCAAGTCTATAAAAGAGCGATTTAAAAAAGTGTGTAAAAGAAATGTCATTAAATTCTATTGTAAACAAACATATGAGTTGTCATTTGAACCAAATTAATTGAATTTAGTGTGTTGTTGTTGTAGATAAAACACACAGAGGTAAGTACCTACACATTGTTTTCCTGTTTTAATATTCTATTTAATAAAATAGTATCTTTTTATACAATCAAATAGGTACGCTAACTACTATTAATTTCGAAATGTTAGCAATGTAGAATTAATAATGATGCTCGTATTTCAGCCAATGTGGATGCGGTCGGACGGCGAGCGACCACTGTAAGCCAGCTCCATCTTTGCTGGAGTTCGAATCGCACAGAGATTTAGCTTGAGAATGACTTCGCTCGGCGTTGTTCGCGCGTGTTATCAGCACGCCTTTGGTGCGAGTGTGTGGCTATTTTGTGGCCCCGCAATAGATCCCAAAAGGTGAGTCATAATGAGAGGTAATAGGATACAGTGAATGGATCACTCACCCTTATTGTACCAGAACTCATATCACTATAATATGCAATGTTATTATTTGTTATTCAGATATGGAATGGTATGAAAAGCAGGGTGAGAATCTACGCCACATCGACTGCGGCAGAGGACCTACCAACCTTCCTAAAGGACACCAACTCTAGCACTAAGTAACTAAATAACTTCAAACATACAATTCCATAACAAAGTAACTTTCTCACTCTTTATTATTAATTAAAAAACAAAGTAACTTTCAATTTGAGCAAATTCTTTCCCACTCTTTATTACATCACATCTATTATTTCGTTAGCAGCGAGCTGATGAGCGTTGGAGCAGAGCCGGGTAGAATTCTTATGCATTGAGAAGCTGCGAGCATGCGAAGCATTCTTGCAGCAAGTGAATGCTGGCAGGGTGCAGGCTGAGGCAGCTATTATTTCTGTCAAAACAGATGATCTGCATGCCCAATCCGTAGCTGCTATTTGCAAAGCAATTACCGAGTTGGTGCCTGCAGTTAACCTTTTTGATAGAATATTTAACAAGAATGACAGGTTTGTTTTCAACATGTTTTCTTAATTCCTGCTGATGATATGTTCAATTGTGGAAATCTGAAAGAGCGTAAGGAACGAAGGTCTAATCTGTAGACTTTTGTCCCCTTTATATTTCCACAGTGATATAAACATTTTTTTAAATGTATTTTGAAAAGGCCCCTAAACATTCTGGCGTTTATGTTGGCTTCATACTGTATGTATATAAATACCCATCCTGCTTTATCTGTCACTACTCTCATGAGAGGTATGGCACAGTCTTAAATTTAGGTCTCCAATCTTCCTATATACATATTTTTGTTTCAGACTTCTTTGAAGAATCAAAAGCAAGCTCGCTCTGGAAATGAAGGATGATTTGGGGTAGATTGAGGCAATAAATAAACTAAAAATACACTCTTTTTTTTATTTCAACCTCTTAAAAGTATACATCAATTTAGATATTAAGATAATAAACAATTACAATAGGTATACATCGTCATCTTAGAATGAATACCTCATATTTCTATGTAATTTTTTAGGATGAAGATAAAAATATGGTGTGAAGTATAGTAAATGCAATAATGTGTGTAGTTAGCATTTTAATTACTTAAATTATACCTCTTTTAGATACTATATTATTACATTATTAATTTTTATTCAACAAAAATCAGTAAAAACAAACTGAAAATGCATATGTGAGGCTTCACTGTAAGGGGACGATATGTTGTATAAAGTCAAGTGTTAAAAGAGATAAATTGTAACCTTGTAATATATTTTTATACAACTATACATATTTTACCTATATCTGTAATTTTAATTTGATAATAACAACAGGAAATAAGACAAGAACTAATAAATATGATGTACATTGTAAAGCTTATTTTCTCACCGCCTTTTAATATCATCTCTTTCGGCATGCCTTTTAGGAAAGCTGCATATTTATTCATAATAACTGGTTTATTTGAAGCAGCTACTGCTTGTGCCTCTCTGACACTGGCTTGGGAAAGGGTGATAAGCACTTGCCAATGGGGGTCTAGTACGCCCCAGTTGTTAAAAACTATACGAGCTATTAAAATCTGTAACAAAATTAATAATGATTTACACAGTATAGAAATTTTGGTTATTATGCAAAACTGAGAACTTTCGGATTCCACTTAACCCTTACCTTTGTCTCCACATCCAATGCAACAGACCGTCCTTTAACGAGAATATGTAGGCATAGTTCTTCCACCAATCCTGAAATGAATTCCGTGGACAAACGGTATATCGTTTGCGGAATTTCTCCTCAGACATGTTAAATGTGATCGTCTTTCTATGCTTTTCTTTTATTTAAAGCCCGTTCTTAGGCCACATCCACCTCATAAACACTTTCCAAAACATTTAAGTAACCGTGGAACATCTTTTATATACGATAAACGTAGTGAAAAGTTACTCTCCATTAACTGCCACACAAACCTTAACCTTTCCAAGGTTACTCTATTCCCCCAAGGTTACATGTGAGGTTAAAACGTCAAAATATTTAGCGCGATACCAATTTGCAACATTTTAGGTTTTGGTTTTACGTTTGACAATTAGCGCGATACCAAATGTGCGTTACGTGTCACACGTCTAAGTTTTGGCTTAGGTTTTTGTTTTGACAGTTAGCGCGATACGAAATGTACACAACGTGTCAGATTGGCGAGGTTGGAGGTTTTGGTTAAACCTTTGACAATTAGCGCGATTGGCCCCCTGGTTGACTTTTTTGGGAGAACGATAGTAGGTATTAATCCTTGTCATCTTCCAGCTATTGTCACTAGATGGCAGCACATTGAAAGACATTACAATATAAAATCAAAACGTAACTACCAATAATAGGTATTAAACTTTCATTAATATGCCAACTGCATAAAGTTTAAATTACATCCACAGTCCAGAATTTGTTACATCTTTTTAAATCAAAAGCAACCACGATACATTATCAAGATATCATAGTTCATTATGATAGTGTGCGTTTCCATTGTTTTTCTTTTTCTTCCGTGCTAACAACTGTAACACAACCCATACCATAACAAGAAGTAGGTAACCCTAAATTGGTTCAATGTATTGGAGACTAATTATCCATTGCCTATAGATACCTTTCTTTATCTTGGTCGGCAGCATCTAGGTAGTGTTGTTTCTCTTCCATAGGCAATTTGCTCCACTCACTGGCCAGTTGCCGCGTCAGTTCCGCGAACCCCAACTCCGGGTGCTCGGCTCGCAACTGATCGCGGCGCTCATTCAAATATCTCACATACCCTGATGATAAAGAAAACAGTCTACAAATCTTGATACATAAAATTATTTTTACACAGAACATTGTGGGCTACATACCAGTAAGAGGTTGCCGCGGAGCAGTCACATCACGAGGCACCTTCGGTTTTCGTTTCTTAGGCTTTTTGGGCGATATCTTCCCAATTACTGCAGTTGTCGACGCTGCTGTCTCACCACTGGTAGGAACTAAAGGAGGTACTAAAGTACTTCCTACATTTTGTTCAATATTTTGTAACTTCGAAGTGTCTTTGGAAACTGATTGGTTTTGTAAAGGCTCCGTTATTAGCTCTGAATGTACTGCGTCTTGCTCTGATGTTGACATAGTTTTTATTGTTCTTTTTAATTCAAATCACCTTACAATGACCTCAAAAATTCACAATTATAGAGAAATCAATATAATCAGGACGAACGAACTTCACTCAAACGAAAAAACCCTAGATCATACACTATATTTGAAAAAGCAACTTTTTTTTTTTTATTATTATTGCTGGCCATGGAAACAAAGTCCTTCAGCCGAAAACAAAAACGTTTAATTATATTTTTGTAAATATGGCCACCACAAAGAGGACAGGCAATTTGAGGCGGCGTGCTTGGATTGACTCGGGATTCCTTAGAACGGGCCGATACGGGTATTTTAGTTCGAGATTCGTATAATTTCGCGTTTTAATCTTCGATTAAGGCACAATAGCACTATCCTATTCCACTTTAAACTAGATTTCACAAAATAATTGAAAGTCAAAATAAAAACTACACTTTTCCCTCCAAAAGGCCCAGAGCGAATGTGAAAAAGCAATGGCTGGCCCTAGGCTTGGGCAAGAGATCTCGATATATCAAAACATCGACATTTTTCCATGACGTAATCGATATCTATAGTCGACATTTTTAATCTCGATATATCAAAAATTGATTTTTTTTACCGCAGTCACAGCGAGTGCTATAAAAATATACATATTTGAAAGTAATACCAATTCACTTATAGTCTGTTTCAATCCATTTTCAACAAAAAGTAAATAAAACTGTTTGGTTAAAACTCTAAAGCCATCATTCAATAAATCGAATAAGTAACACTGTCACGTATATTTCGAAGATTTCGACTTGATATCTCATCACTTTTTCGAACTATATTTATTTGAATAGCATCGTAAAGGTGGATTCACATTGTACAAATTCTGGCAATATATTGCCACAATATATCGCGTTGCGCGACATGACTTTAAGTTGACCAATCAGGTGCTGCGACCTTAGCTCCTAATTGGTCAACTCAAGGTCATGACGTGGAACGCGATAAATTGCGGCAAAGCCAGAAGCGTTCATTGTGAATCCACCTTTAAATCGCATTTGAAAGTGGTAGTCGAAAAGTGAGCTTATTTTTCATCTATACATCTATGATTTGTCTATGATAGCATAGTGCTGTACGAAAACATTCGGTTCATTCAATCAAAATTTTTGTAATCGATTAGTAAATCGGATATTTCAATCGCCATTGAACGAGTATCTAAGTTTAAAGATTTGAAGGAGGATTTAAAATAAAGATTTCGGAATTTTTTAATATGTTTAATAGGTTATATTGGAAAAACCGCTAGTAAGACTCAATTGAACAAATCGATTCATTAAATTAATTAATCGATTTGTAGTTGGCATTACAATTGGTCATCACTAAACCGTCTATGGTCGGGTCAGTGACTTGTTTGTTTAGGATTCGCTATTAGTAGTTTGTGGGATTCGCTCTGGAACTTTTGGAGGGAAAATAGTCGTTTTTATTTTGACTATCAATTATTTTGTGAAATCTAGTTTAAAGTGGAATAGGATAGTGCTATTGTGCCTTAATCGAAGATTAAAACGCGAAATTATACGAATCTCGAACTAAAATACCCGTATCGGCCCGTTTTAAGGAATCCCGAGTCAATCCAAGTACGCCGCCTCAAATTGCGTATCCTCTTTGTGACGGCCATATTTACAGAAACAATTAAACGTCATGTTTAGGTTGATGGCTTTGCCAAAGCCTTAATAAATTTAAAAAAATAAACTTGTTTGTTTACACCTTAGAGGATGGAAATTTACATTTTGTTGAAAATGGATTGAAACGAAGTATCTTGAAAAAAAAATAGTCTAAGCGAAGTATAGTTAATTTAAGCGTCACTTTGTACAATAAAAAGGTATTACATATATTGGAAAAAAGATACAAAGTCTAAAAACGTATCTTTTGCCAAAGTCTGTTTCTAATCCAATATGCTAGAAAATTAAACTAAAATTCTAAAGCAATCACCAAATAAATGGAATTAGTAACACTTTCACATATATTTTGAAGATTTCGACTTGATATCTCATCACTTTTTCCAGCAATATTCATTTGAATAACATAATGAGGGTCGTATTCTAGAACTCTACAGAGAGTCGTATTCCAGAACGTGACTCAAGTATCGCAGTGATCATCAATCAACGAAGCATTGATTTTGTTTATTCTTGAATAGGGTCGTATTCTAGAACTCTACTCAATGCTCAAGTCAGGACTTGAGTATGATTCAAAGCACTAGAAATCATACTCAAGTCCTTGCCATTAGGGTCGTATTTCCAGTGCTTGAAATCATACTCAAGTCTTCTCAAATCTTGACTATGGCATTGAGTAGAGTTCTGAAATACGATCCTCAGTGCTGTCACAGACGAATAACAATCAAGTTGTCTCAATTTTGAGTTGAGATTGTCCACGGTTCTATGCGATTTAATCGCTGCTTAAATCTGTGTTCCTTCATGTCGTAGGGGTCTTGTAGGTCTTTCAACATCCGAAACGATTGAGTATTATATTCATTATTGATATATTTTGTTAAAGACCAAAACTCTGAAGACCTCACTCAAGTAACTACAGATTTTGACAACACTCCAGACAAGATTCTAGAGTTAAGTACGGCTTAGGCTTAGTTGAAACGAATCTCAAGCATTGTTTAAAAATAAGCCTCAAGCTGTCACTTCATCTGACATAACATTTTTTTTCCAACCTTTATGGACTAGACTTGTGCCTGGATCCGGGGAGCGATCCTAATTAGTTCAATCGGTCAACTGAACTAGGGCGGTCGTCTAGTTCATCTAGTTCCTTAGTTAGTTAGTTCGTCTTGTCCTTGCTCGGATATTGAACGAACGCTCCGAACTAGTAATTTTATTCACATGAACTACTTCTACTACGGACTTCTAGTATTATGAGGTCAATACTAAACTATTAAATATTTAAAAATACAAATTGTATGGAATCGGTACTATTCGATTTTCCTTCATATTTTACAGGCTTAAAGACTGTCATTCTAACTAAATATCCTTTTTTTTTTACAAAATAAGAATTTTAGTTAGAATGGTGTGTTTAAATCAATCTTTAGGTACAACTATTTCATATGTATACTCGTACACGTAGGTTGATATTATCATAGTGGTACCTACCACGCCTACCAAAAATATTACTTTTTTGCAAGCTTGTATATACATAATGTAGATACGTATTAGAGACTTAGAACGAGCTGGCAACGTTCAATCGTGCATCCCATTATATGTCATACATATTAAAGCTTGTTATTATTATTTTCAATAAATAAGGCCAGAATATTGTAAATATCTGTCTTGCATAAATATAATAAACATGATAAGGAGGTAGGGAGTGGGACATTGACAGGAGTTCGGATATGAAAGTATCGTGGTCAATTGAGGTGCAGGAGAAAATTTGATTTAGATCCCCATAGGCCCCGCATGAGCATGGCTTGCGAGGGATAAACTCTATAGTGAAAACTGATAAAGGCCTTCCCTTTGGAGGCATCTGCCATCCAGCTTCTATTCCATGCCTCGAATAGATATCGCTTCGGTAGGTTTACCAGGTCCTGGCAATAGCTCGCATAAGGGTGAATGTCCCTGTCCTGGATAGCTACGTTTGCTAGCTTGTCAGCTTTCTCATTGCCAAAGATACCCGCATGACTCGGGATGCATGCAAAAGCGTAGCCCTTCGACGAGCATTTGGAGAGGAGATTTCAAGTTTCAAAATATAACAGGCGCTTGTTTATAGCTTTTAAAGGGAAACCTTGTTAGCGCCTGTAGAGTGCTACGTGAATCGCTGAATATTGTTGCTTTTACTACTCACACATTCAATAGCTTTCAGTATACCGAAGCATTCACATGTGCAGACCGAGGACTCTGGAGGTAATTTAACTTTTTGAATTATTTTGTACTGTGAATGATAGACTTCCACGCCAACACAAGAGTTGTCCGTATGCTTTGAGGCGTCTGTGTAGATGTAGTGCCAATCCGGCCATTCATTATTGATTTTGTTATTAAATTCAGCGTTCTGATTGAGGTCATTCTTGCTTATTCCCAGACTATATTCTATTCGCGGCTTGATAATGAGGGAGTTGTAATTATATTCATAGAGGGGAAGGCGGTTCGACTGGTGGGTCTTATTTACTTTCAATGTTCTTGAACTTCTTAATCTATTTGGTTACTTGTCTGGTACAATGGATTGGAACTAGAGATACGAAAAACTGCTTAAACAAAGGTTTAAACGTTTGAGCTTTTTTAAAAAAAGCGTGCTTTTTTAAACGTTTTTCACTTAAACGCTTTTAAAAACATTTAAGCGCATAGATTTCTATGTTACAAAAAGATTGTAACGTCGTGTTGATAGCGAAAAGCAAGAACAGACCAATAAAGGTCCTAAGTTAAGTAAGTTTATTTGTAAAACACGAGTTTTATTTTTATTTATAAAATTATTATTCACATTAATGAATTAATTTGTTTAAGAAACATAAAAGATGGGACTTGAAACTTAGGCACGTTGTAAAAAATTAAATTGTTGAGTATAGAACTATAGACCAACGCTTACGCTTAAAATAAAAAGTGGTTATTTTAAAAAGTGATTCTATGAAATTGTATAGATCGACGTGTTGACAAGTAAACATGTGTCTCATTGAAATGCTCTTCAAAAACCTACCTCACCTCTACAAGAAGAATCTATCTTCTTTTTATCACATGGCGACCCTGCCGAAACAATAAATTACAGGACAATTTCAAAATTATTATTTTAAAAATCATCAGCCAAAAAGTGCAGATGCACTATCGAGAATGGAAATAACGAGTGAACAACTGAAGCGTATGAATAAAAATATAATATCAGTAATGACTAGAGGACGACAGCGACGAATGGAAGAGAAAGAAAGATAGAAGGGTTTTGTTGATAAGGTTTCTTCTAACGATTGGATCACCCAAGAGTCGTGGAAATACTTAAAAAACCAAACCATTCTATCGAGATGAGTTTCGACGAAAAAGAATATAATGATTGTAAGAAAATATTTGTGTACGGAGCAGTAATAATATATTTTATTATACACCCTCTTCGTCTTTAATGTGTGTTAAGCCAACTTCTCGATCATGTGTGAAACGAGATTTCTTCGTGAGAAAGTTGGACACGTTTTGCAAAACTTTCAATTTAAAAGAGTAATGC